CCCAGGAGAGACCCCGGCCTCACCTGCTGCCCCACGTGCAGCCGGCGCGAGGCCCTGGCGACGCGCACGCTCTGACAGTGTGTCTCCTGCGTGTCCATGCTCAGGGCACAGGCCTCCAGGCCCCGCAGGCTCTCTGTGGAGGGAGGGGCCGGCGGCGTCAGCCCTCCTCCCTCCTCTCCGGGGCGTGCAGTTACGGGGCTCCCTGCCAGCCCCCAGGGCTGTGGGGTTAGAGGAGCCCTGCGCCCGCCCCCCATCCTGGGTGTCCCCTCTCACCGTGCAGCCTGAGAGAAGTGTTCACGCGCAGCAGCAGGGAGCAGCCGTCGTGGGGGTCGCATTTCATGGCGGTGGAGAGGGTCAGGGCCCCCAGGACTGACCGGGGCATGGACGCGGGGGGCTGGTGGCAGAAGCTGTTCAGGATGTTCCCTGGGGAGGGAGAAGGGGGTGCGTGCCACAGGCTCCCTGGCGCCCAGGGAAGCTTCTGGGTCAGGCTGTGGGGGAGGCTCTGGGGTGCACAGCCAGGAGGGGCCTCAGGACCTTGCCCAGGGCAGCCAGGGCCCGTCCCCTGTCCCCTGGGGAGTGAGGCTCAGGCTGTCTGTGGGCAGCAGGCGTGGGACCAGGCCAGTGGAGCCGGCTGACCCTGAGCTGAGGAAACGGACAGACCGTCTAGTCTACTGTGCGTTGTAGCTTCGCTGCCCCTTAGTTCTTTCTCTTTCTTTTTTTGTTAATCCTCATTGGAGGATATATTTTTTCCCATTGATTTTTAGAGAGAGTGGAATGGAGGGAGGGAGGGAGAGAGAGAGAGAAACCATCGATGTGAGAGAGGCACATCAGTTGGTTGCCTTCTGCACGGACGGGGGTCGATCCGGCTACACAGGTACGTGCCGTGACTGGGAACCTCTGGTCTGCGGGCGGATGCTCTAACCACTGAGCACCGGCCAGGGCTGCTGTCCCTTTTTTCAAGCATCAAATGTTGCTGTTGGAAAGTCCGACACCATATGCTTCTCTTTCCACTTGTGAGCTGTAGACCCTTTGCCTCGATGCCCCAAAGACCTTTCTCTCTTTAAAACCCAGTGACTTCACCAGAATAGGTTTTGGTGTTGGGTGTTTGGGACGGATATTCTTGGGGGTGTGGTTCGCCCTCTGGATATCTAGTTTAAAGAAAACATTTTAAATCTTGGACAGTGGCTGTCAGAGTTTGTGGCGGAGGTTTCTCCCTAAGAGAGCATCGTTTTGGAACGTCTTTGCCTATTGGTAACCTTTACCCTTTTTTCACGTGTCATTCATGTCATTTAATTAATTTATTTATTTTAACGTATGAATTGTTTATTTCTGGGTTTTTCCATTTATTACTTTAAAGAAAGATTTTTATTGATATCAGAGAGGAAGAGGGAGAGAGAGAGAGAAACATCAATGATGAGAGAGAATCATGGATCAGCTGCCTCCTGCACGCCCCCCACTGGGGATCGAGCCCGCCACCCAGGCACATGCCCTGACGCTCTGTCCACTGAGCCACACCAGTGGGGGCGTGACCTCTGTTCTTCCTGCCTCTGTTGCCCTCATTCTGCTCAGCCTCGAGGTTGCTCCAGGCCCCGCTGTCCCTGGAGCAGCTGGGACCGTGGAAGGTGGTGGCTCAGCCCTCCGTCGGGGGGGTCCAGGCGCAGAGCCACCCGAGGACGCTGGCACCCACTGACCGGCCGTTCGTTTATTTTTTCATTGTTTCCCTCGTCCGAAGTGACACTCAGGAAAAGCATAGCTCCCAGAAACGGCCGAGGTCTTACCGCCCGTTTTCTTCCAGGGTTTTTATAGTTTTGATCTTACACCGAAGTCTGATCCGGTGTGAATTTGCTCTTGGGTGCGGTGGAGGAAGGTGGTCCAGTTTCTCTTTTTTGGCATGTGGTTTGTCCAATTTTCCCAGCACCACTGATTGAATAGACTGTTTTTACCCCACTGTGTGTTCTTGCCTCCTTGGTCCGATATTAATTGACCATAAAGGTGCGGGTTTATTTCTGGGCTCTATTCCATTCCATCGATCTGTGTGTCTGTTTTTATGTCAGCCCCATGCTGTTTGTTTGTTTTCTGTTTGTTTGTTTTTTCATGACCAACCTAAGTTATTTATTTAAGCCATTTCCTGCCATAAGCAAAGAGACGGAAGATCCGTGCACCCTATAGTCATCATTGTACAGTAGGAAAGAAGTCAGCTTAAGGTCCCATACACTTTTCCGGTCCGTGTGCAGAGTATGGTCCAGACCAGTGCTGTGGTCCCACTGGGCAGTGGTCCAGGTTCTGTTTATTCGTCTTCATAGCCGGGTGGCAGCGGGGTCAGATGAGGGTTATGGAATAGGGTACGGTGACCATCTCCCCAGGGGAAGGGCTTGGTCCGGATGCGGAGGCGGGGGCAGGCGATGAACTCCTCGCGCTCCCCATGGTGCGACTTGAGAAGGACGTTCAGCATGCTCACACCCGCCCCGGGGGGCGCCACGAAGTAGGCGAGGGCCTTCCACAGGCGAGCGGAGCCCTCCTCGCCGTGGGCGCCACTCGACAGGGGCCGCGCCATCTGGGGCCGCAACCGACCCAGCAGCCCAGAAACCCGAGACGCAGCCGCAATCGCGTCTTTCTACCAAGCATCCCGTGCTGTTGTGATCACTCTGGCCTGTGGTACAGTTTGACATCAGGCAGGAGGATTCCTCCAACTTTGTTCTTTTCTTCCCTCAAAATGGCTGTGGCCCTTCAGGGTCTTTTGTGGTTCCTTACACATTTTAGTGGTATTTGTTCTAATCCTGTGGAACACGCCGTGGTATCTCGATAGGAATTGCGTTGAATCTATCTGCTTTGGGTAGTATGGACAGTGTAGTGACGTTAGTTCTTCCTGTCCACGGACATGGTATATGCTTCCACTTATTTGTAACTTCTTCAAATTCTTTCATTAATTTAATGTCTTATAATTTTCTGAGTACAGGTCCTTGGTTAAATTTATTCCTATGTGTCCTTTTTTTTGATGAAATTGTAATGGGATTGCTTTCTTAGCTTCCCTTTCTGGTAGTTTACTGTCGGCGCATAAAAATGCAACCGATACCTGGGTATTTATTTTGCACAGTATCCTGCTACTCTACTGAATTCATTGATCTGTTCCAGTAGTTTTTTGGTAAAGTCACTCTTATTCAACCCAGTACTGGAAGTCCTGGCCACAGCAGTCAGATGAAAAGAAGAAATAAAAGGCATCCAAATTGAAAAGGAGGAAGTGAAATGGTCACTATTTGCAGATGGCACGACACTGTGTACTAGTAGAGAACCCTAAAGACTGCACCGCGCCCTGGCCTGTTTGGCTCAGTGGATAGAGTGTCGGCCTGCAGACTGAAGGGTCCCAGGTTTGATTCCTGGTCAGGGCACATGCTTGGGTTGCAGGCTCAACCCCCAGTGGGGGGCGTGCAGGAGGCGGCCAATCAATGATTCTCTCTCATCATTGATATTTCTATCTCTCTTTCCCTCTCCCTTCCTCTCTGAAATCAATATATATATATATTGATTTCATATTGATTCCTCCTTCATATATATATATGTCCAGCACTAGACATTTCTTTAGATTGTTTCCTATTAAATTCAAGTTAAATAAAATACTTATTTTAAATGGCATAAGGTAATTTTATTTCTATAAAACATTTTTATCTGCTTATCCTATTATATGTGCCTACAAAAATGTCTAAACAATGTTTTCCTAATGTAAATCATGTTTATTTCTATATGGGGGCTTTGTAGTAAAATGTATTTTTAAAACATTTTTAATCCTTACCTGAGGATATGTTTTTATTGATTTTTAGAGAGAAGAAGGGAGGGAGAGAAACATCCATGAGATTGGTTGCCTCCTGCATGCGCCCGACCGGGAATCGAACCCGCGACCTTTTGGTGGACGGGACCAACTGAGCCACCCACGGGCCGGGGCTGGAGTGACATTTATCTTGACTTTCTTCCTAATATAATAGTCGACACCATTTATGTCCCTTTAGCAAATAGAGGCAGTGTTTACAGAGACAGTGAGGCTCTCCTAAGCGGGCTGAGGACTTGGGGTTTTTATTCGTCGCTGGCCAGGGTGGGGGGTGTGACCTCACACTCAGGGAGCCCATGTGCCCCAGGCAGGGATGGGGGAGATCTGGGCTGCGGCTGCGGCAGACCTGGCCCCAGGGGGACAAGGTGACCCTGGTGGCTGGGAGGGCAGCCCATCCCCCTCACCCAGAGGTACTCACGGGTCACATGACTCCTGCAGACGAAGCCCTGGAGACAAAACAGAGAGAGGGTGAGAGGTCAGCTCCACCCCTCTTGTCCCACCTCCTGAATCCGCCTGGGGGGGCGGGCAGGGGAGGCCCTGGGCCCCGCAGTCCCAGGAGGTAGGGGGTGCCCCAGTCCCTGGTTCCTCCTCCAAGATATCTGGGGACACTGCCCCGCGAAGCCCAGCCCGAGGGCCCGCGTGCAGTGGCCACTCAGTCAACGGTGTGGCCTGGGCCCCGTGGACCTTTAGGCCCCCCTGCCCAGGCTTCGTGCCCACGCAGCAGGGTGGGGGCTGCCCTGGGCACCGGGGGGGGGGCAAGACCCATGACCCACAGGGACACCAGGGGCAGCCAGAGCGACAGCAGTGGGGGCCTCTGCCCCTTCCCCAGAAAGAACTGGCCGTGACCCCAGGAAGCTGGGACGGGGGCGGGGGTCCAGATGAAGACCTGGGCTCCCTGCTGGTGGCACCCGTGGGGCACGAGAGTGAAAGTGGGATCCCCGCCCGCCTGGCGCCCTGTGCAGGTGCCACTGAGCAGGGCAGGGAGGGCAGGAGACCA